ATTTGCATGGGATGCCCAGCCAATTCTGTGGATTTGGATATATTACAGTTTAGATAGGTAAGTTCTCTGTCTTGGCAGGGTGCAGTTAAACTTTCTGGACTAAAATGCACCTGAATCAAATACAAAGGCAGTGATGCTATGCTGTGTTGGAGTTTGACTGGAGTTTGACTGGAGCTGACTCTGCCAGCTCCGTGTCTCCTCATGCTCTGAACCACGCAACCATCTCACCTCACACAAGGCAGTCTAGAACTACCACAAGCAAGCAAGGCTGAAAGATCTATAAATCCTCATTTCATAAAGTATAAAGAATGTCACAATTATAGGGGCTATTTCTTACATAAATTACTGTTTCCCAGTGCACTGGGTTTGCAAGGCCAGGTTTTGGTAGCTGGGGGGCTACAAGGGGGGCTTCTGTGAGAAGCTTCTAGAAGCTTCCCCTGTGTCCAACAGAGTCGATGTCAGCCAGCTCCAAGATGGACCTGCTGCTGGCCATGGCCAAGACCATCACTAAAAATGGTAGCGCCTCTGGGACAGTGTATTTAAGGGGGAAAAAAACTGCACAACACCAGCAGCAGTCAGAAGAGAGAGGAGTGAGAATATATACCAGAAACAGCTCTGCAGACTCCAAGGCGACAGAGCAGAGATTCCCTGGCAGCCCGTGGTGCAGCCCGTGGTGAGGCCGGCTGTGCCCTGCAGCCATGGAGGGTCATGGGGGAGCAGAGACCCACCTGCAGCCTGGGGAGGACCCCACGCCAGAGCAGGTCACAGCCCGAAGGAGGCTGTGACCCCACACAGGAGGCTGTGAGCAGGCTCCTGGCAGGAGCTATGGATTCCACGGGAGACGGAGCCAGGCTGGAGCAGGCTGTTCCTGAAGGACTGTCTCCTGTGGGAGGGACCCCATGCTGGAGCACGGGTAGACTGTGAGGATCCTCCCCTGAGGAGGAAGGAGCAGCAGAGACAACGTGGGATAAACTGACCACCATGTGTGATTTCCTGCCCCCATGTGTCACTCAGGGGGAGGAAGTAGAGAATTCGGGAGTGAAATTAAGCCCAGGAAGAAGGGAAGAGTGGGCAGAAGGTGTTTTAAGATTTAATTTTTAATTCTCATTATCCTACCCTGATTTGATTGTAATATATTAAATTAATTTTCCCCAATCAAGCCTCTTTTGCCTGTGCCAGTAACTGGTGAGTGATCTCCCTGTCCTTATCCCAACCCATGATCCTTTCATTGTATTTTCTCTCCCCTGACCAGTTGAGGACTAAGAGTGATAGAGCGGCTTTGGTGGGCACCTGACATACAGCCAGGGTCAACACACCACACTCAGTTTTTAAAATTTTACTCAAATGTTAACTCACTATTCTGCAGTCTGGAATTCTACAAGGTCTGTGTCAAAATATGGTGATATTTTCTTGAATTTCTAAAGGAAATTTCACCCACAGTATAAGATACTGTGGACTCAGTAAGATGGCTATCATATCCACCCCTAAGAACCCTTAGAATGAATCAGAACCCAGTTTGTAACTCTGGAAATGAAGGAATGCCTCCTTGTTCTGAGAAGTCTGCCTAGTCTGAGTTTGTAATGTCTACAGAAAGTGTTTAATCCAATCAATTTCCGCTAGTCTGATCTGCTGCAAAATATAATATCAGTATTTCGGCTGTCAGAAAACATATAATAGAAATAAAATTAAGTACAAAAAAAAATGTTTATATGGAAATAAGTTAGCGGACTGGGTAGAATCACTATCTAAACACAAGTATAGAAATGAAATGGAAATTAATATTTTCTCATCACAGGTATTAAATTCACTTTATAGAGAAACATAACATTGCATTTCAACATGTAGCAAGAAATGACAACCTTGCCCTTGTTCTTACTACTACAAAGTGAAAAGAAGAAAACAAATGAAGCATGTACATTACCAGCATAGTAATGTCTTATTTTAAAATTCAATGAATCTTTTAAACTATAAAGGATAAAGTGAATGTACTAGTGGTTTATCATTCTGGCATACTTTTTTCCTAATTACCATTAATTAATTTCTAATTAATTCTAATTGTTCTAATTTTTATCAAGTTTTCCTGAATAAACAAATAATGGAGAAACAGTGAAGTAGCCAATAATTACTACCAACATTGAAAGGATCAAGAAATATTAATTCTTTCATGCATAACTCTTAAAATCTGCCAAGGTTTCATGTCACTTGTGAAATCTGTGTGTGACCAAAAGCTCAGCTCAACAGTAGTGAGCCATGAAATGAAACCTTAGAGAATTCTTTTTGCAAGTGGCAATGAACAACCACACTGAAAGGATTCTTCCAGACAGCTGCTTTAATGTAGTTAGCCAACTTCCCAGTTTAAAGTCAGTCTCTGCCAACAAAAAGATCTCACTTTCATGTCTCAGTCAAACGCACAAAACATGTCATGAACAAAACTTGTGATTATTTTTAATCTTAGATGGGGTTTGGGTTTATTTTTCCCATCCTCAAGCAGCCAACAGGATTTGTTTCAGATAATAGATTTGTTTAAATTGAGGCAGTTCAGGAAAAGCAAAAAATATTAAAAATTAAATTGTGGCTATAAAAAATACAGGATAAAGGTGATACTAATAAGATGCATACTATCTATTACACCATAATATTTTCATAATATTTCATAATATTTCATAATGAAACATAATAGCTGTTTCCATGTACTGTAAAAAAAAAAAAAAAAAGTAAGAAATCAACAGTCACTGAGTTTTGACTTGGCAGTTTTCAGGAAAATCTATTTAACTCTCTTTTCCAAAGAGAAGAAGATCAAATTAAGAAATAATGAAAAAAATGTGTTTCCAAAACATTAACAAATACAATGTGATTTTTGACACAACATTAAGAAGGGTATGATATAAAACCTGGAGAACTGACAGAATCACAGAATTGTTTAGATTGAAAGGGACCTCTTGAGATCATCTAATCCAACTCCTCTGCTCAAGTAACCTGCTAGAGGAGATTGTCCAGAACCACATCCAGTCAGGTTTTGAACATCTTCACAGATGGAGACTCTACAACCCCTCTGGGCAACCTGTTCCAGAATTTGACCACCCTCACAGTAAGAAGTGTCTTCTTGTCTTCAGACTCAATTTCCTGTTTTTAAATTTGGACCCACTGCTTCTTGTCCTGTCAGAGAGCAGTACTAAGAAAGTCTGTCTCCTTCTTCCTCATTTCTTCCCATCTGGTATCATAGAGTCATAGAATCACAGAATGGTTTGGGTTGGAAGGGACCTTAAAGACCATCCAGTTCCAACCCCCCTGCCATGGGCAGGGACACCTTCCACTAGACCAGGTTGCTCAAAGCCTCATCCAGCCTGGCCTTGGACACTTCCAGGGATGGGGCATCCACAGCTTCTCTGGGCAACCTGTCCCAGTGCCTCCTCACCCTCTCTGGGAAGAACTTCTTCCTGATATCCAATCTAAATCTCCCCACTTTCAATTTAAACCATTACCCCTTGTCCTGTCACTACAGGCCCTTGTAAAAGGTGTTGCCCCCAAGCTCCCTTGTAGCCCCTTCAGGCACTGGAAGGGGCTCTAAGGTCCTCCCTAGAGCTTTCTCTTCTCCAGGCTGAACAAGCTGAATTCTCTCAGCCTGTCCCCATAGCAGAGGGGCTCCAGCCCACTGTTCATCTTCGGGGCCTCCTCTGGACTCGCTCCAACCAGTCGATATCCTTCTTGAGGGCTCCAGAGCTGGACGCATGTATCTATACATATTGATAAGATCCCCCTGAGAGCCTTCTCTTCTCCAGGTTAAACAGCCCCAACTCTTTCAGCCTCTCCTCACAGGAGAGATGCTCCAGCCTCTTAATCATCTTGTGGCCCTTTGCTGTACCTGCTCAAGAAGGTCTGCATGTTTCCTGTATTGAAGGACCCAGAATGGGATACAGTATGCCAGTTCAATTGCAAATATTGCATTTACTCTGCAAAATATGATCATAACTTTGAAATTGTTTTCAATGGCTATTTATGGAGCAAATAAGGTTTCACAGAGAGCAAAATTGATGCCAGGCAAATTAATGTAAAGAAGCAAAAAGATTTAATGATGGTGTTCTTGTTGGACAGTAAATGTCGAAGATGAAGGCAGACAAGGAAGCTAGTAGAAAGGCAGAATCTGAGCGAACATAACTCCAGGGAGAGAACAAGAGAGCAGCTATGATCATCAAACTCTGAGATCTGGCTATTACTTCAAATTGGGAAATGTTCTTTTCTTTCTCTTGTTTTCCTTAGAGGAAGTTGTTTTCCTTAGAGGAAGTTATTTGTGATGGAATGACTGCATTTTAATAGTAGTTAATGGTGACCAGACTTTTCACGTAATGAACAAAGCTGATTAGAAACAGGGTTTAAAGCAAACAAATAGTATATGAGTTTTTCTTTCAGATTATTAAGACATACTCACAGAAAAAAAATTAACTTGCTCTGACTCAGTAAGAATGAAAGAGTAAAAGTAGGTGTCATAGTCCTTCTGTGATGAGACAATCTCATAACAAATGGGATTGGGTTATTTGCTTCAAGAAGTAGTAGTAAATTGTTTAGATTAGGTGAGGGAAAAAACCCAACAGAAACTCAAAGAATACTGCAGAACAAATAATGTTCATCCATAATTAGTAAATTTTAGTATGCTTTCCTTGTCAGTTAAAAGAAATAAAACATCGCTTTTTTGACTTTTATAATAAAAAGAGTGAAAAAGAGAAGAAGATTAGTTTCTGCTACTGAAAAGGTAACATTGAATGAGAGAAATAAAGGTTTAGTAACCAGGCATAAGAGTTAACAAAGGAGATAACAAGGTACATATTAGTGAAAAGCAATGCCAGCTTTACTAAATAGCAACAACATTAAATAAATATTTAAAGTAAGGCAAAATACAATACCTGCTCAAAAGTTTGATATTATTCCTTGTCAGAGAAATTATATTTAACAGCACACTGTGCCTCAGCTTGCTTTTTTCTATTCATCATCAGTTTAAAGGATACTCAGCAGAAGAATAATATGTGATTCTGCAACAAACTGAGCCTGACTGCTTCCATGTATGTAACTCTGTAAAATAAAAATGAAAAGCAATCCTCTTTAAAACAAAGAAATCCATTGAAAATATTGCAGTTGGATATGAGAATTAAAATAAAACCTGTTTCGCAGAAAAATACAAAGAGCAACAGGTACAAGTTAACAGCACAGTTTGCATATGTATGTTTAGCAAAAAGGAGTGTTAAAAATAGTGTATTTAGGCAAAGCACATATATACAGTGAATGTAATGCTTCATACATGAGTGCATTATGCTGGACTCTCTCACACTGCTGCTAGTGTGGAATAAAGGACATGTAATTCTTTGCTCAGGAGATACAATTTTTTGAGAAGGGAGGTGATGAAATCAAGGACATGCCTCAACATGGTTTTTACCAAAGTGAAAACTGAACCTTCAGATTGAATGAAGTTTCTTTATACAAAGTCTATTCCATCTTTCCCCAAGAAGATACAATTATGTCCACAAAAAGTCCTAATTCATAAGATGTCTTGTTTATATGGAATTGTAGTAAATGCAATCACAGATGTTAGCACTAAATACAAACCTAACATAGTGGGTTTTTTACCCAAATAATTATTGTTAATTGGCTCATTTTCTACATTTATTATTATGAACACATAACATTATTCAGAAGCTGTTACTGTTCATTGTTAACTAGCTATGATAACAAAGAAGGAAGCAAAAATTTGAAGGACTGCAAACATGCACAAAATGAGGGAGATTCTCTCCCTTCCTCTACTACTTCAAGCATCAAGTTTAGCTTGTCATACTATGTGATGAGGCTTTGAGCAACCTGGTCTAGTGGGAGGTGTCCCTGCCCATGGCAGGGGGGTTGGAACCAGATGGTCTTCAAGGTCCCTTCCAACCCAAACCATTCTGTGATTCTATGAAATGGTAAACAGCTATTTCTTTTTACAGTCACAGCATCAAGTTATAGTCTAAAGCTTACAATGATTACAATATATACCGTATTTGTTAACACAATGTGAACTGAAACAAAAACAGGCCTTTCATCAGAAAATTGTAACAGGGTCTAGTAGCATTATTTAGTCATTAAATACCTATATGCATTTATACACAATGCCTACTACTCTTTCTCCTTCTCATGCTAAATTATATTAAAAATGCACATTGGGACTAAAGAAATACACTCTGTGTTGAAGAGACAACATTATCATCAATGATTAATAAAACTGGTTGTCACATGACTCCTAAGACTATAAATTCCTTCTGTGAAGGAATTGTTGTAAAACATTTAGATGTGAGATATCATTTTTATTGATATGCTTTATACTTTGTTACCGTAAATTATTCTTCTCTTTATGGCAGCAATTTAATTCAGCATAACACCACTGAAGGAACAGAACCCAAAGTATGTACATAGACACATACACATCCAGAGACTATATAGAGAAATCATTCTTTTCCTCAAAGGAGTTTACTGACAGTAAATTGCTTAGCTTTTATCCTAACGGGAAAGAAGAGTCTTGCCTCAAAAAGAAGTTAGTTTTTATGCTACTGCTTCTGATGACCTAAATCTGTCCCACACTGGGGAGGAATCGCATTTTAGGTACTAGTCATCATCACCCAGCATAGAAACTCTGTTTAAAAACATCACTGAAGTTTGTGTGACTTCTGGTTTCACTTGGGAATATCAAACAACTACAAAGAATTTTGTTAACGAAACAGGACAGTTTCATAACTATCTAGCTGTCAAACCCATACATTATGTTTTTTAAAATGCCATCAAATATGCTCTCCACTCTCAAAATTTCAAACATGATTTTTCATTAGTTATTCATACTTGAAAAACTGACTAAAAAATTCAGTCTGAGAATGATTACAGTTTGCAACAGGTATATGCAGTTTACAATGCTGTGCATGTGGACTACTTATAATGCAAAGTTGAAACACCACAAAGAATAGGCTAAAAGCTATAAAACATAACTAGATTGTTGATTTTTTTTAATCATGTTCTGATCTAACAAACTTAAGTCTTGACTACCAGAGAAGGCAAGTTTTTATATGCTACTGCAGCGGTATGGTGATTGGATCTAATCTAATAGCAAGGTTGGTATCATAATGATATAACAAGGATACGGCTATTGGAGAGACATTCTCAACCAGAAAACTTAGCCTGTCCATTAAATTCCCAAAGTAATTAGTTCTATTGCATGATGTAAAAATGTGCATTTGTCTCAGGATTTTTTCATCTGAAGCTTTTCCAGGAGCTTTTTGAGAAGCTTTCAAAGTATGAAATGCATCACCAGGTCAGTCTCTCAAAAGATCAAGTCCTTAAAAAGATAAAATAATGAAAACAAAGATATACCTATGATCACTAATAAGCAGGTGACAGATAAGAGTCCTAGCTACCACCCGATACTCACTATAAAGAAAACAGCATGGACTAGACACAGTTTATTTGCAAAAGCTGAAATATCAGCCAACCAAAACCAAACCAACCGAAACTTGAAACAAAAGAACTGAATCAGAGACTGCAATTAAAAACTGGCTGATTAATATAAATTTCTGGCTAAACATCTCATAGGGATTAAGGTTGTAACTGTGTTTCTTTAAATGTGAGTTGAAAAAGGCATAGTTTTACTTGCAAGGAAGTGGAAGTTCTTTGATTTAGTCCAGGAAACATTATGTGTTTATTAAAAAGCTAGTAAGAGACAATTGTTAACTAATGTCTGTCCCCAGAGAGGGGACAGAAATGGATAAAAGCAAAGTGAGTAGCCACCTTAAATGAAACAAGCAAGCTTCATCTATATTGGAGAGGGCAAGAAATTTCAGGTTAACTTGAGGGAGTGTGCTAGTTGAAAGCCAGGTAGTTAAAACGTTAAATAAGGCAGATGTTTACTGTCCAGTATTGTCCTTAAAATAAAATAAAAAAAAAACAACAAAAAAACCCACCCTGTTAACTTCTTTGCTTTATTAAAAACGTCATTAGGTAGATTATCTTTAAAGTTACTCAGTAATAAATCTAACTCTGTGTAATCAATAGGCTTCTCTGATTGCTACCCCGAGGCATTGTTCTCCAAATACTCAAAAGACCATCATGGTCTATCTCCTTCATAGCTGTGGACCAGTCAGAGCAATGGTAGTGAAGAAGTGAAGAAAGTGAGAGGCTGTCCCAGTGATGAAGGATAACCAAAGTAATTTGCATTAAACAATATAATGTGGATCACCTGAGTTTGCAACTGTACTTCACCCCATTTCTAATGAAATGGATCATAACTACTTCATAAAGAAGTTACAGGGTGTGTTTTTTCTTCAATGAGTTTTCAAGACCTATGTTCTAAACAGCAGACAATAACCAGAGTAGAATTTTGCAGAAGACTGAAGACGCGCACTTTACACAGAAATGATGGCAAACAGCATTTTTGAAGACAGAACACAGAAATGTGTGGCATTTGCCCTTCTGT